CTCTCTTATTGTGCCCGTTCTCATCCGAATACATCTTCCACGTTTCAAACCCGAACTCGCACTTTCGCGACGAGCGTACACGCTGTAAAATCGCTGCCATGCGAAACCGGCCCTTAACGACGACAGATTCGCCGCTTTCGAGGGGCACACTTGACAGCGATTTGAGTAATAAACATTATTTACAGCCGTCTAGTTTCTTTACGCAAGAAAGCCAACGAGAAGAAAAAAAGGAGAGGACAAAGAAAACGGACGGAGAATACTCGCCTACGCCAATGGGATGTACATGGTGCCGCGAAAGAATGCTACCAGCACTTTGATCATGTTTGCAAAGTGTTTTATTAGATGTACGATTTGCTTTCGATGATGTTTACAATCAACTATATATATTTACGTGTTTTCTTTTGCGGTGAGAATTTCTTTCGCGACACCCTGTACATGCGAGAGTTCACTGTGTACCTTTCCTACGTCTGTACCATTTTGATTCCTCTCTTTCTTTCTACCTGCCATTCACTGCCGTTTACTATGAACGCTGAAAATATTAATTTTCAATTGTTTAATTAGTGTTTGTCTGTTTCTTTATTTATTGGCTTCGCCTTGCATTGATAGAAAAAATGTCGAACGTATAAAATGAAATCTTACCTTTATAACGTAAGAAATGAATGACAGTTAAAACTTTGCATAATTTCAAAGACCGATTAAGAATAGACCGAAGGCACGAAAGAATTAATATAACATACATTGTATATACATTTTGATTATACGTTAACGGATAAACTGCGCTCGGATGTATCGCTCGGTGAAACGGCAATTAAAAATATACCAACTGGACACATTCGTTAAAATTAGATTACTATGTTAAGCGCTTACAATGATTACTGAAAAATACAAAATAATAATTATCATGTTTCAATGGCTTATTACAATATCTTAGTACAAATTTATTGGTTCATATAAATAAACATATAAATAAGAGTAACAATTTACGAATACTAATATATAATACCTGACATTGGTAATACTTTTTTTTAAATTTAACAATTTTAAAAATTGAAATTTAGACGATTCTCACTTGAGGAATGCAACCGAATTTATGTTTTCGTATGAACATCCCTTTCTTTTTGTATGAATTCAAATAAAGAGTTTATAAGAAGCATTGTTGTCAGTTGAATAGTACGTTTTAAAAACAGTCTTACGGTAATTAAAAGCAGCAAGTTATAGTTCCCATAATCTTAGTAAGATAACTCGTAATAAAGGCAGATCAGCTGACACGTTCAATGAATTTTCAACGATAGAACTTAGAGGACGTAAATTAAATAAGGCAGTTTTACTAATGTCCCTGAACGGGTATCCCTAAATGGTTCATGCAAAAACCAGAAAAGAGAAATTGCGTATGAAACTGATCGTTTTTCTTATCTATTCGTCGATCGACGTAAAATAAAGACTAATATAATCTTGATTTGAGATCTTTTATGAACAGTCTAGTAACGTTCATGATACCCATGTTACGGTCGCTTATTTTATATTTACAGAAGTGGAATGATAAATGAATACAATGAAAAATGCAAAAAGTTTCACACGTACAACACAATATAAATCCAATTTTCTTTAAGAAGAAAAAGAAGAAAAAAAAAGAAGAAGATTATAATACATTCAACTATACAAATACAAAACTAACAGTAAAAATACACAAAATGTAATTGAAATTTATCACTTTGGTTACTAGGAATTTATCGTGATCTGCGTAACACTCATCTGCTTAAATAAAATCTTACAATTAAAAATCACAACGTAATTGACTTATACGGTATAGTAATGACTGTAAATCAAACATGTTTCACATGAAATTAGTTGTAGGAAAATTTACAAGAGAAGAATTTTGAAATCAGACTTATCGGATATGACTATCCACCGAATTAACTTACTATAAAATTTTACTTGTGGAAGTTCCATTGATAAAAGATAAAACTACCTAGAGCTTTTTTTTTAGATCTTAAAAACTATTGTCACGATTTTAATTTGATTATTCAAATTTTCGATACTGGAAGTTAAACCGCTACACGTTTGTAAGTCATGTTCGCAGATTTCATCATGATATGGAGGCATCAAACATATAAGTATTATTATATATCATATGTCATACATTCGCATTATAACAGAGAAGGAAAGAGTTATATACCGCATCAGTGAGAGCAAATGCTACCGCTTCTTCTTCATGCCTTTGCGATACCCTTTGCCAAACCATCCTGGATTTTTAGGCGGTGCTATCGGTGAATCGGCTTCGATCACCAGCGTTTCCGTATCTTTTATCTGCTTACTCTCAGATTCTATTAAAATATTGTCCGTGTCCCTTTGATAATAAAGGCAAGTAAGCGAACCCTCGTTTTCCATACAAAAGGTGCAAGCTGGCTTCGGTTTTGGCATGTTTATGGCCACGTCTGGGATTTGTATAAATGGATAATAGAAAAGTGGTGTTAACTGAGGACACATGTACATTGGTGGAAATGGTAAGCCCATGGATAAAAATGGTAACGCGGTAAAAAAAGGCGCTGAATAAGAAGACATAGATTCAGTCATTTTTTTAGGTGAGATGCAATCTTCCTCTTCTTTGGTTTTCGGTTCGATATCCTCCTGATAGTTATCAGTGACTTCCGTTAATTCTTTATGAGCGACATTAGACGGTTCTTCCAAGCAAGGCTGACTTGTCGTACATTGTTCGTTATTCTTAAGTCGTATAGCATGAAAAAATATTGGATCCTTAGCACGATTGTAATGCGGTATTTCCAATCCCAGATGAGACATAATTTTCTTCATAACTTCATCGCATTTTCCATTTATTTTTAAAACTGCATTTTCATCTTTCGGAGTCCACTGCAAATTTACAATATACAGAGAAGGACGTTTATGAATTGGTCTGTCCATCTGCCAGAGCCATGGATATTTTTTCAGAACCTTCAAACTGGAACCCAAACATAATATAACATCCGCTTGTTTCGCTGCTCTTGTGGCACCGTTCCAATTAATTGGCCATGGAAGATTGCCTCTTTCACCGAAATGAACAATCGAATCTTGCAACACAGAGTTACATCTCTGGCACAATCTACCAGTACCGTGCGAATACCGAGCAGTCTTTTCTGTAACATCAAACAATCTCCAATATTCTCTATATGGTTTGCACGTTCTACAAACTTCCACGTACATGTTCCCATGAACTTCAGATAAAAGGGTACGAGGTATTCCACTACGTAAATGAAGTCCATCACAATTTTGAGATACTACGTGTTTCAAAACTCTTGCCTTGTACAAGGCATACAGAGCCATATGCGTTAATGTTGGCTCTGCCTGACTTAAATCATGATTTCTGTAAATATATCATATATCCATCGTATAAGTATATATACTCATTGATAGCAATAAAAGAAATAACAACGAATCGTTCGAAGGTAGTAACAATTTTAATATTACCCAATATCTTTTCCTTGCTGTAAACGAGTCCAAACTCCATTCGTCCCTCTGTAATCGGGAATAGAAGCTGCTGTACTGATGCCAGCACCAGTGTAAACAGCCAATGATGATGCTCTGCTAATTGCTGCAGCCAACCGTATACACTTCTCCTCCAAGATTTCTGGCGCATCTTCCACTTCTTCTAATCTTGCCTTTACTCTATGTCTTTTCTCTTGTCTGACAAATTAATTAATAAGATTTTACTCGTGATACATTACACTCGTGCTTTCAATACCGGTACATCATTACAATTTATATGAAAATTTCCTAACTATTTATTTCCCATGATCGTATCCTATAATATCAATACTTAACAATTACTAACAACGTGAAATAAATTAATATACCCATAAATGTAGATTCAACGATTTTCAAAATGGCTATACCTCAAATTAACCTCTTTCACTACGTCACTGCAGGAAAGAAGTATCCCCGTTTCCTCTGCAGTTCTGTCTGTTTCGGATTTTTGTAAAATCGCCGCGACCTGAAGAAAAATAAACAATACAGTATTCTATGGGTGTTGTTTATGATCCATCACAGTTTTAAGACCGGGAAAAATAGATGAAAATGTTGGTTAAATATCATGCCGAAGTAATTACGATTAAGCAGTATATATTAAAGTTACGTATGTACTTTTTTAAAAGTTGCCACTCGTTCATCTTTAACTTTGAATGCTTTAAGTGCAGCAGAACGCCTTCTTGATAGGAACTTCTCGTTACCAGCCTCCTCCATGTTTAATCAAGACGGCTGTAACGCAGAATCGCTCAAGTATTGCTAAAATAGCACAAATGTCATAATAATATGTTATACTAGTAGATTTTTACAAATTTCTTGGAGTCATGAACTAAAGTATGCATGAGATACATAGATTATTTGATAAAATTCATTTTAATAAAACATTAAAATATTATATTCAATCCGTTAAATGTTGTATGTAGTAACATAAACCCTGATATTTCATTTATTTTATCATATTTTATGCTGATATAAAACATATTAATTATTAAGTCTCAACATAAAAGTATATGTATTTCAATATTATTTTATGATGTTAATATACACTATTTTATTCCTGAAATCACCATACTGAAAAATCAATTTTAAGTAATTTATATAAGAAAATCTGAATAGGAATTTTCAAGATTTAAACAAAAATGAAGTATCAAGTGCTAGATAATTTGTAGTGAACTGTTCTCATAGGTACATCGTTTTTTTCCATGTGTGTGTAAAACTTACATCCGCATTGATCTGCACACGATTATTCGACATTGTATTTAAGATAGAAATATAAAAATACAAGAAAAATAGTTAAAAAATATTATTTTTATAAATGCAGTAATAATGATGTGTATGCATTCCGAATAGAAAAGCAGAATTTTCCGGTGAACGATTCCCGCCATTTCGTTGTTTAAATGCTCTCTAAATGTTTGCATTTTCTATTGTTTGGTGTGTAACGACGACAACTCTGGACAAAATAGTGATTATATTTTCCATTCAGAAGTTATTTGTAAACGATGAAAACTTTCAATTTATGGTTTCCATTTCAAACAACAATAATTTAGATCAGAATAGACATGTATTAGACTAAATGGTTTGAAAGTTAGTCATGCCAGGTTTAGAAGAAAGTATTTTACACGATAGCAGTTCACCCACAGAGAGCCTCATGTCCGATGGAATTGTCTCTGAGCAAGTGAAAAAATTTTTATTCACCTCTCGTAAAACTCAGGATAACGTAGAGTGTAACGAAAGCTTAGAGATTTACATCCCAGAGGTAATAAAATTATTTCACAAATTTCACGTAAGGGTTAACGAAATGGTTCATAAAATTTTCTTTCATGCTACCGGTGTTACGTAGTTTTTGGTTATGCATCTTTTCGAAAGTTTCCTTGTGTTTATTACTTATATACCTCCTATACAAAAATTTATATATGATTCTTTAGTAAAATTCCTTTTATAACGAGCCCCAATTTGTAATTTACTAGAGAGTGAGTAAGCTGACATGACTTTCATATATCATGAATCTTAAATATTTCTTTTCTAATAATATATTTTTTGTTACAGTTACTTCAAGCTAGTTATAGTTTTTATACGTGGCCTTCTGCACCTGTGCTTGCTTGGTTCCTTTGGGAACATAAAGAAGAACTAATTGGAAAAAGAGTTTTAGAACTTGGATCTGGTACAGCGCTTCCTGGGATTTTAGCTAGTAAATGCGGCGCTATAGTAACTTTAAGTGATTCCGCTAGTCTTCCCAGGAGTCTGCAACATATAAGAAGAAGTTGCGAACTGAATGGAATTTTATCTCAAGTACAAATTGTTGGTATAACATGGGGATTATTTTTATCTAGTTTATTCTCTGTTGGACCGTTAGATTTAATTCTTGGATCTGACTGCTTCTACGAGCCAACAGTGTTTGAAGATATTGTTGTCACAATAGCATTCTTGTTAGAAAGGAATCCAAATGCAAAATTTCTTTGTACGTATCAAGAACGAAGCGCAGATTGGTCCATAGAACATCTGTTAAATAAATGGAATCTTACTTGTACTCATATATCATTAGCCGGACTTGGTACAGATTCTGATGTAAATGTATACGATTTAATGCAAGATCACACTATTCATTTGTTAAGTATACAACGTGCCACTTGAGAAGTTTGTCATGGCTTCTCGAGCCATCATTGTAGTACGTGATATTCCTTGGACTATTTCTGCCTCTGAATTTGAACAGTACTTTTTAACATTTGGTAAAATAAGGCGAATAAAACTTTTATTTAACAGTCGTGGCATTAGCGTAGGAAAAGGCATTGTGCAATTTTATAACGAAGCTGCAGAACAACGTGTACTTAAGACATCTCACTATTTGATGGAAACTGAAATAAAACTACAATTGCTGTATGATATAAAGGAAGACAAAGCTATCCGCAATGAGTTTAGAGGATACATTTAATAAAGCTGCAAATTATTTGCAGAACATAGTATCAGAATTAGACACCAATGAAATTCTTAAATTCTATGCTTTATATAAGCAGGCAACAACTGGATCGTGTAATATTTCGAAGCCCAATTGGTATCAAGTGAAAGCCAGACAAAAATGGGAAGCATGGAAAAATCTAAACGATATGACTTGCAACGACGCTATGATTAATTATATAGAAGAACTAACAAGAATAAGTCCTAACTGGGAAAAAGATATAGAATCTGAGCCGCAAAAAAGGGTCGCTGTTAGTCGGTTAATGAACGCAGAAGAACAAATAAGTGACACAGATAAAACCTTTTTAGATTGGATTAAAGAAGGCCATGAACAAAATGTACAAGAAACGTTGAAGAGAGAGCAAGGACTTGTAAATATAATGGACTCAGAGGGTTTGTTACCAATACATTGGGCTGCAGATCGTGGACACGTAGGAATCATAGAACTTCTAATTAAAGAAGGAGCAAACGTGAATTCGCAGGACACGGATGGACAAACCCCGTTACATTATGCAGCATCGTGTGGACACATCGATGTTGTAAAATATTTACTTTCCATTGGTGCAGAATCTATAAAAGATAATGATGGTATGAAGCCCAAAGATGTTGCTGATGTTAATACATTGTCATATTTACTCAGCATGGAATAGTATGTAGCTGAATTTGTTCATAAAATTATAATACTTTTTTTATTAAATATCATTGCTCTCATAAATTCTTTATTTATGTACAAATAGATTCTGTAACAGTTTTCATTACATTCACAGCCTAAGCACTCCTTAGGTAAATGCACAACTTGTCACAATGGTAATTTAAAACTTTTTTTTACATATCATTGTGTTGCTTATTACGGAACATAAATACTATCCGTTAAACATAATAGAACGCATAAAGAATGCTATGCCTTTTGTAAATATTTTCAAATTGATAAATGCAGAATATACAAGACTTGTAATTTTCTTTCATAACAGTATGAAATATTTGCAGATGTATTTAGACCGTTTGTAAAAATAAAACTTAAAGAAAATAAAACAAATATTTTTGTATTAGTTAATTACTTATTACGAAAAACCACTTACAAGTTCATGTCTGACTTGGACAGAAATCGTAAGATGATTTCTCCAAAATATTCTCTTCACTTTCCCAGCTGATACTTGGTGATGTATTTTATACAGGGTTTACTCCACGGATTCTTTAAAATAATGAAAACAAATTAAATTATTTAACTTGTTAGGAAACTTATTAAAAGATCGTCAAAGAGACTGTAAACTTTTTACTTTTTTCTAATAAAACTACTATTGTACGTTTCCTAATGTTATTGTCTTTTAATTAAATTACAACTATGAATTTAACAGATTACTTGCACAACTTTAATGGAATGAACAAAATTCGTATGATGCAGATTTTCAATTTTCATCACCAAGCGAACAGTCATTATTATTTATGTTACATTTCCGTCGGTAATATAATTTTTCTTAATTGTTTGTATGCACAACCCTTTTTATTTTAGCGATATAGCAATTAAATAATTCCCTAACAATGGAAGAAGAAAAAGGAAATTTGTAACATAAATAAGAAAGAAAATATTTATCCTTCATAAAAAATTTCCGTTATGATAATCTAACATTTTCAATGTAATACATTATTTACCACCCTGAAAATTTACATCTCGTTTCAAGTGTTTTTATTTTTGCAGATTATTTCTATTAAAAGTTCTGCAATTAATTATACATATTTACTAATCGTTTCTGCCAATCACACTGCCCTTTATAGTTTTCGTTTAGTAATTTCTTTACTCTTTAAGAAAAGATCGAATTTATTTGTATGGTAAATAATGTATTAATTAAAATACCACATCATTATATTTGGTTCACTTATTTTGCAAATTAGCTGTATCCTTAATGTTTTTAAATACTGGCAATTGTTTGATGTAAAATTAATCGGACGCAAGTTTGTTGTATACTTTTTTCAAATGGAAGAATAACGTGATACTTAAGAAAAATTTGCTACCTTATCTCTGTCAAAATTATCGATCATGAAATAATGTTTACTCGTATGATATGTTACACTGATGATTATAACATTCTTGTTTCATTACACTACACTATTTACTAAATTCATTTACTTTCAAAATCATAAAATCAATGTAGAAATTTTCTTGTTGGTTGAAACATTGTTTAGCAAAAATCTTGTATGTACGAATTATTTGTAACATAAATAAATATGAATTCAATAAAAACAGTACCAAATAAAATATTTTCTATTTTATATTACGCTATGAACAGGGACGCCCTTAAAAAAGTGGTGCGTTTGGGAAAATTTCCCTTTTAAAAATCTTCAACTATAGTAAAATAACAACGAAATTTTACATAATAAACTTACACGATCAGATATAATTAGATTTTTGATCACATAATTTCAAAAGGCACTAAGAAACCGAGGAAGAAACATTTCCCTCTGATTAAAAACCTTACATGAAACAGTAACATTTTAACTTTTTAATTATATAAATAATATTTACTCGTTCCACTATTTTTCAACAAATATAACTAGTTTCGCCAAGTGCGCAAGACCTTGCAATAGGGAATCTAAGGGCGGCTCTGATCACGAGAATATAAGAATTTGTAAACTTAAACCGTATATCAAGCTAGAGATCAATTATCAAATTATTTTCTTATCTTTATAATACTTCTGTCATTGTTACTGTAGTAGGTACAAAAACTGATAAATTCCAAAAATATCAGAGTTAAGTATGAAAATTAGATATAACTTCTTAAGTTACATTTAATATACAGTTACAAATGCTTACAGATTTTAAACATCAAAACTTGCGGGCAAGTTTCTCCTTATTATTCGTTTGCTATTATTTTAGAGAAGTAAGAATAGGCACTCTCTACAAAAAATGAAATTGAAAGTGTGTTACTTCACGGTGTTATTGACTCGATAAGAATTTTCATAGTCGCCGAAAGTCTCGGTACTTCCGACACCCATCAAAATAAGAAAAATTTACAAAACTTACATTGCAGTCATTCTCTATAATGCCGTTATTCATCTTGTTATAGAACCATCGATTGTTAAAAGTATCAGTGATTTCCTTTAAAAGTTCATTTATGAATAATATAATAATCACATTTTATACAATTGACCTCAGAGATTGGTACTTTCTTGATCCACTTTAAGCCGTGCGGTGGGCGGCGGTGGTGGCGGTGGCTGTGGCCTTGGAGGTCTTTGATGGAACCGATGGAACCTCGGCGAGGCTGGGACAGGTTGTTGCGGCGATTTAAGAGCTACTACAGTTTCAGTCTGTGTTTGAACATCGATAATGTTCCCTTCCGATCTGGTTCGTACGTGAGCTTTCGTTTGTTCCGGTGCACATAGCTTTGCAGGCTTTTCCGATCGTTCACCGTACAAGGACATAGATGACGGTCGACTACCTACACTCGGGCTTCTCTGCAAGTTCGAAGCCATGTTGCCATTGTTGTCGCCCGTTGAGCAGAACACATTGCCATTGCCACGCACTTGTATTATACTGACCTGTTGTTTGTCCACCGAATACACATGAGCTCTTTCCAAAGTTAAAGGCTACAGATTTTCAAAAAGAAAAAAAAAGAAGAACACATTAACAGCTCTGAAAAGCGTTGTTTCGAGGAGAGAGAAAAAAGGAGGAAAAAAAAGAGAAAAAAAGTATGAGAAAAGAACATGTTCGTATTTCTTAGCAAAATGAATGATTAAAACGATCGTTCTCCACTTTATTTGTAGCTTACGTTATTGCATTTCAAAATGTAATATCCAGGCAGTGATACTTGTCGAGTCCACTGGCAATAACTACATTCGTTAAAGGTTATCTTACATGTATAAACTGGAATTGAACGACGCTCGAAAAGGATTAATACTCACTCCTGTCTCAGTGTCTAAATTTTCGTTACTGTGACGCGGATGTTGTCTGATGAGGCTCGAAGGTCGAATCAATCCAGCAGGCCGTTCCGGTATAGCGGGTTTGCTGGTTCTGTCCAGTGTGCTTATATTCGTGGAACTACTATTGTCCAACTTTCTGCGTAACTCGACTGTTTCCTCTGTAAATTAGAGTAGTGATACGACATTGTAATATCATGGCCATTAATAGGGATCTGTAAATTATATTTACCTGTGTTATGTATTACATTGGTCATACTTCTCGGAGCAGCGACTGGTCTTCGTCTCTCCAATGTCGAAGGATGAGGTTTCTCTGTAATTACCGGTTTTATCCTTTGTATCGAAGTTTCAGAATTCTCTGCCTCTGACTTGTTGTTCAACGAAATCTCCCCGGAACTTTTCTCTACGTTCATCATCATCGTGTTCAACTTCCTTTCAGGTTTCTGCATTTCTTGGTTTCTCTCGTCTACTTCTGTGTGCATGCTACGCAACTCATCTGGTACTTCGTTAACGTGCTCTGAGCAACCCAGAGATTGGTGATCTACAGCTACACTCGCATCGTGGCTTTGCTGTTTGGCTTCAACCTCTATATTTGCGTCATGCTTTTCTATATTATTCTCATGTTTGATTGATAACTCTGTATTTATCACATCGTGTTTATGAGTCTTATGTATCGGACGATTAAGAGTCGCAGATGTTAAAGGTCTAGGTGGTTTGTCGGGAGTAGGTGGCGGTTTTTCGTCGGGTTTTTTGTCATGTTTATCTGGAGTGGTGCTGTTCGGTGGTGTCGGAGCTGGTTTATTTTTTCTACGAGCTGCTGGCTTAGGACTACCTTGCGGAGGACTTTCACCGTGATCACTGAGACTACTATTCGAAACGCAACGACGCATGCCGTTTAAAATGCCGATATCCAAATCACGATCAAAATCTATTTCACCAGGAAAAAACCAATTTGCGTATGTAATCAACTGATCCACTATAAGACTAGAATTATTAGCTGTGCTCATATTCATTCTGAAATAGTAGTAAAAAGTATATAGATAGAAAATTATCATACTATAAGCAGCTAAGCGATGCGTCGTATAGCAACTAAATCAGAACACGTCCCGTAAGAATCGTATGTAAAAGAAAAAAGAAACAGTTTTCTTACACCATTGTATTCGCATCCTCTTGTGGACTCCATATTAAATTAGGCGCAATAACAATAGCAATATTTTGCGGCGACATTTTATTTATATCTTGATTCTTGGTGAGTACAGCCAAAAATTTAATTAGGAACCGTAAGTTTTCTAAGTTTGCGGGTGGCAATTTATGTAATACTTCCCACAGAGCCCTCAATCTTGTTTCATTGTTTGTTATCTTTGCCGCTGCCATCCACTCGGGATACAATCTTTATAACAATAAAATATGAGATCTTCCTCTTTCTCTCCTTTCAGTTGTTTAATATAAAAAAAGACAGTGTTCCACTTACTTGTATGTTAAAAGAGGCTCTGGAAGTTCTCTTAAATAAGATTTTAACGCGCCAGCAATTACGTGTGGATCTTTGTATTCCAAAGCAGTTGGTAATGTAAGACAGCAGGCATCTAAACTTAACTTAATTCGTCGCGACTTCGACGCTGCACCGGCTATTCTAAAAAGGCCTTCTTCTTCCATACCTAGTCGTAACAGGGCAGACACGCATAATTGGATAGGCAATGCGATCTTCCTATTGGTCACCCTAAGATGCTCTTCAAGTGGGTAACCATAAACTGGTTTCATTTCATTGTCATCTATAATTAAAAACAAAACATATTAGCATAGTGCCGATGAAATTAAAGCTGACGTAAACAAGAAATTATTTACTTATATAACTCTCTAATCCTGGAATAAGTTCTTCCAAATAATGTAATGCACTTTCATGATAAGCTCTTTGAAGTTTCACGTATTGGATAATAGTATGCGCTAATTCAGTTTCTCGTGACATAAGCTGAAACATTTCTGCAGCTAACTGATCTCTACATTGTTCGACCTTAGCTTCAGCCTCTTCTAATTCTTCTCTTAAGCTGTCCACCTTCGCTGCACCCGCACCTACAGAATTAACGTGTCGCTTAGAAAAATTGAACGCAAATGTTTAACTTTGTATCTAAAGTTTCTAATTACTGGCACTATGCTTGCTGGCTTGCTGATATCTTGTCCTCACGCTATCCATATCCAAGATTAACCGAGCTAAATTTCTTTTATGCTTTAATATATTTGGTACATCAGTATCTAAAATATGTTGTAGAGGACTTGTTACATATTGTTCGACTTTTGCTTCGTGTTCAATTGTTTCATTTGCTAAATACATTTGTGCGCGACCACATTCTATAAGCGTAAAACCCATGAGGCCATCTTCGGGAGCGTTTTCTAGCATTGTTTGCCCTAATACATATTCCGGACATTTTTTCTGAAAATGAGACACATTTAATATTCATTAAATTATCGTTATCATTGCGTCAAATTGTTTAATAATAAACTGTCATCGAGTGTTACCAGCCGCTTTTCTTTAATCACAACATCCTGTGCTATAGTTTGATTTGGAGGATTAGCAAGCCTTTTGCTTAATCCAAGGAGCGCCAACCTAATTTGTTCAACATGTTTGTCTGCAGCTTGTAAATCATCTGTGAGTACTTCCGTCTTACCAGCTCTACAAAAAACAAACAATGGAAATGAGAACGTTTGATACGCCAATGAGTATAAAACAAAACAAGATTCTAAGTTGTGTAAAGTCACTCCATTTTAAGACTGTCTGATTCATAAGTTATTTTGGTGTACCACTCTTGCTACTATTGGTTACGCTTTAAAATTATTCAATCCTCTACACTTGAAACCATAGAAAAATAAAACAAAACTATATTCTTTGTTGTCTTGTTGTTAAATGCCAAGACACCAAGTAAATTGTTTCATTCATTCGTTTTATGCATTAACCACGAATGATTATACTTTAATGTGTATTTTACTTTTCCAGAAAATAGAAACAAAGATATCGAAACGATTACTGAAAAAAGTAAACATAGCTGAAAAATATCTAGGAAAAATTGATTACCTAGAAAATGTTTGATCTGCGAGCTGTTTAACTCTGAAGAATTGTTTCTTCATGATTGATAAGCATCTAACACCTCTTATGTAAATAAAATTGTATTTTACCCAAGTAGATCAATTATGCTAACACTTGTCACTTGTTGACTTTAATGTTCACAGGTATGCATTTTTAATGGGATCGTGCGACACTAAAAATACACAGGTCTGACAGAAAAAGAAGGGAGACTCTTTTGCATTGCTCCAAAGACGACAATTCGTCATAGTGTGTATGTACAGTGATTTCACACCCTCTATGGACAATCGCTCCGCCTTGGACCGGCCTATCTTATTGTACCATCGATGAGTTTCCTCCTTTAAACGACGTTCACAAAATTCAACACGAAAATCTTCAGTTTGTAAACGTGTCAAAACGTCGCAAATTTTAGTCACGGCATTTTATACACTTGCTCAGTTAAGCGACCGTATCAAAATGCACCAGAAACCATGAATTGATTTTGCACCTCACATTCTTCCTCGCAACTTCGATTTCTTATCGTTCACCGTGCTTTTTTTAGTATCTTCCAGAATTCTATCGGTGCATCCGATAACGGGATAATCAACGAGTTTTTACTAAGCAATAGTCCGCCATTTTCGTTTCTCTTTCAGATTCGTTTTAGAACGAGTAATCGTTCTTTCAGCGGGAGAATTTAAATTGGCATTTCAAATCGTTGAAAAATGTAATTTAATTTTTTATTTAACGTCACTGAGTCGTGCTCTGAAGTTTTTTTTAATACTGCATTAAGTATTGATAATTTCTCGGTGGTAACGATTTTAATTAATATTTAATTTTCTATACTATTCGTAGAAGCGATAGAAAATGTTCGTGGCGCCATCTGTGAAACAGTTGGCACACCATTGACACGACAATTCCGACGATTTCTCGCAGATGGAACCTCTAATATTATCGAATAACTTTAATTGTATAATAAACATTAATTCATAAGCGATAATCCATAATGGATGATTACACTTGTAATATAATGTATCAAAAGTAGTTTTCAATTGTAATATTTCGTACCGGCCTACTGGAAAGATTCTGATACTCCGCATTACATGTTACCACGCTTTCACTTTTAAATGGTTAGGTATTCCCTGTCCTTTTCTATTCACCTGCCAATAACAAAGTGATAGTGATACACTATTGCAAAGAATTGGCAATGGTTTCGAATTAGTACCTTTAAATCCACCCAAATATGGAAAGGCTACCGTGAAAAGTTTCACCAAAGATTTCACTTCTGTAACGATGCTCTACATTAACGTAATGGCTTGCATAATCAATGTTCATTGACCAAGTTTCGGTGATAACTTCAAATCACGAAAACAGAAGAGTAGGATGTCGCATACCGTTAACGATCACTTGTAGTTTTCTCTTTTGGTTGTATGGTCTCCACCTGTTGCTCAAAAACATACGGACTTCAACGGTGAAACCTGAAAACGTGCGCAAGGGAAACTCTACAGTGAAGATTCATTCCCTTATTTTTCATTTCTTTCGGCTCACGATATCATATTTAATTGTGCTCATCATGACGATTAATAGGAATTTTATAAATGTGATGATTTTGAGTTGGGGTTTCATGTTGGTATTTACGGCGTTTCAAACGATGGGAAATATTGAGGTGAGTGTGAATGTAACGTTGACATGTGCTTTTGACAAGTGAATCAGGATAGACGTTACGAGCTGGCACAATATTGTTTCCTTTAACCTCAACGATAAATAAATAATTTCTCTTCTATCTATGATCAAATATTTACATGGCCACTGACGTGCATAGATTAGGAAATTCAAATGCTGACATGTAATTTAAAGTCTAATCATGTATACATTGCACAGTTCGTTGTTCATTACTAATGCTCTGTTGTCAGGCATTCTAATACTTATTTAAATAAAATCATTTAAAGTACGTTGACGTTTGTTGCTATAGTTCCTAGTAATTGCTATTTTATATAAATTAATATTATACGAGACTGTTATTACATGTAGTTTTTATTTTTCATTGTATACTTTATAATAAAAATGAATGTAGACAATATATTTGATATTCCAATAATTTTTGTAAGATTAATAATAATTAATTACTGATTATTAAATGTTAGAAAGGTAGTCTTATTAATAATTAAACAATTTTCTTTTTGGTAACTGGTAGTCTCAAAAAATTAGTAGTGTATTAAAATAATAAAACTGTGTTTGGATCATTGATTGTTTAATATTAAACATTTTTTATGATATTGGAGCAGATCTTTTGATACTAGTGCTCTAGATTCATCAAAAAGTGGCACACTGAAATTGATAAATTTGTTTTTATGATCTGTTCTTATCAGTAATAGAACAAACATTCAATCTTTATTATATGTATTTCAAGATAATTTTAAGATTTAGATATCAAGTAGTTTTTGTGGCAGTATCTAATCAAATTAAGAATTATATTGGATGTATAAAATGATAAATTTTTGATAAAAAATATAAAGATAAAAATGCAACATGAATGCTTTATATGTCCTATTGAAAGATATATGTTCACCCAATATTTTGTTACACATACTTTACATTATATGTTCTAAACACTTTCAGTTGTACTTTACTATGAAAGAAATTTTTTACTGTAAGTTTGTTTTCTTTGCAGAAAACTGTGCTGGAAAGTATTAGGAAAGAAAATCCGAATTTTACTGGAGAGGCCTACACTAGCTTAGCAATTATTTATGGAGTTTTCGCCACTTGCAACTGGTTAGCTCCGTCGTACATCTCCATGACAGGACCAAGGGTCGCCATACTAACCGGTGCTTGCTGCTACACTCTTTTCATAGCATCTTTTCTATGGCCACAGGATGCTCTACTCTATACTGCTTCCTGTGTTCTTGGTCTTGGAGCTGCCTTAATATGGACAGGACATGGACAGTACTTAACAGAGAACAGTGATTCCGAGACTATGTCCAGAAATGCAGGAATATTTTGGGCTATCTTCCAAACGTCGATGTTCATTGGCAATCTTTTTGTATACTTCATGTTCACTTCATCAGAGATCGATAGTTCGACAAGGACAATTGTTTTCAGTGTACTTACGGGTTTAGCAGTGACTGGTACTTGTGTCTTAGCTGCATTGAGGAGGACATCGGAGAGGCTGGTCTTGGGAGAAGCCGAAGGTGTTTCCAGTGCAGACAAGGAACTCCAAATGCCAGAGCCTACAAGAGAGAGGTCAGTGTCAGCAGCGTGGAACGCTTTCCGTGATGCATGTAGTCTCTTTCTCACCGTGAAGATGCTTCTCTTGTCTCTGACGTTCATTTACACCGGTCTTGTGTTGACATTTTATTCCGGTGTCTATTCGTCGAGTATTGGATTCACCAAACAGATTGGTGACTCGCGCAAGAGATTGGTTGGTCTTTCCGGTATCTTCATAGGAATCGGAGAAGTCGTTGGAGGCGCTATCTTTGGGATCTTCGCGTCCAAGGTGTCCCGTAAGTGCGGAGGATGGTCGGTCGTCCTCACCGGGTTCGGAGTGCACCTGTTCGCTTTCATCACGATTTTCTTAAATCTGCCGAACGACTCACCGTTCGCGGACACCGATAACACAGGATTCATCAAACCTTCGCCAATTTTGGCCATGGCCGGGAGCCTTGCGTTGGGTTTCGGCGACGCCTGTTTCAATACTCAAATATACTCTTTACTAGGTGTACTATTCGCAAGTCAGAGCGCGCCAGCGTTCGCGTTGTTCAAGTTTTGTCAGTCGGTCGCGGCTGCCATTAGTTTTGCTTATAGCAGTAGCGTGAATCTTCATGCACAGCTTCTCGTATTGACAGTAACGATTATCATTGGTACTGGTGCGTTTTGTATCGTTGAACGTATTACGAAAAAGAAAACCGATAACACAGTGTCTGAAAGCAATCCTACTCTTGTCGAATAATAGACAGACCACTAATGGGAATGACGAGTAACTCGTGGGATATGAAAAATGCTCAATAATATTACTTGTTTTATTCCTTGTGGTAAAGGCAATAGATGGAATACTATAAATTACAGAACTGTTATTATTGTTTGTATATATATATATATATATATATATATATATATATATATATATATATATATATATATTATATATGAAAGCATTTATATATTTTTAATACGTAAAATTTGAAGTGTTGCAAAGTTTATTGAAAAGTGTTCCGTCCGGTGGTATAAATATGTACACAAAATGAAATTGTTGATATATATATATATATAGAATTGTGATGATCCATATATTTTTAATTGTTGATGTAAAGGAATAACGAATTATTTCTATTCTGTAAAGCCTTCAGAATATTGTGATTATAAAGACTTTACAAAAGCCGTTTCTAAATGTTCTTTGAATGAAAGATTATTTATGCGAATTATGCATTCCAAATAATTATTTGATTTGATTTTCCTTAAACGACTGATGTCGATCAGCGCACAAGTCAGTATTAGTTTCATAGCTCTGGCTAAAAGGATTATATCGTGTGGACGACACGATTGAACCTGGACGAGTCTTAGAAAATATATATGTATATATATTCCTCAGGTTTGATCTTGTCCTCTAACGTTTTTCTATCGAAAATGTTAATGAAAATTGTTAATTACTTTTTCATGTACGAACGAACATGAGGAAATCAGCTGTTGTATAGATATTTAATTGTATAAAAATGAAAAGTAATGTGAATATTATATGACAATATCATGATCATCGATGAGATGATATTGAGCATGTTTCCTTTGTAAATTTTGCAATAAATAAACAATTTTTTTTAAATAAATGTATTCAGAATCATCAATCATAAGTATCACCATAAAATATAGCGATCAGTCGTCAAGCTGGCACAAAGATGCTACTCCTCGTTTAATCCAGTGAGACTCGCTGACATTGGTTTCAAGCAAAATGTATAACACGAAATTGGAGGAATGACCAGTGGTAGCCAAGACACCGCGTCTTTCGCTTGTCTTATAGACTGGACAGTAGTAAACAGATTTAGCAATAAAGTTAGCTTTCACTCCTGGTTGTAGCCAGATGACTGGTAAAACGTCAAACATTATTTTCGGCTTTGATTCATCCAGTGCTTTTCTTTCTCTATTCCATCGAGCACCTTCCAAAAATAAGCCCTGAAGAAAGATAAACTAATGTATCTCAAAAATGGGCAAATATTTTATTCCAAGATGGAACGACGGTTGCTACCATCCGATTAAAATTCAAATAAACAAAAGGATTACCTTTATGTATACACCATAGGAGGGCGGAGCATTCACGTTGGTTTCAAATGTGGTCACGTCAAATTCAAAGTCCAGCCTGTCAATGGGGATTCTATGTTGGCGCGCGTAATTCTGTAAGACTCCCGTGAGAAACGACTGAGTGAAGAAGAAGCCGGATATCCAGAAGACATTCGGTGCATCGTGATCTATCCAATTTTGAAAGAAGTCCAGTCTCTCTAATAGATCATGAACGTAGCTTCCGAGCGGTTTCAATGACGGATACGATTTTCTGTTCCAAGCACCGGGCACTTTACCAACACTCATACTCGTGAAAACTTCTTCCAATTCCGTCGACATCAGGACTAAGCCCTTAATCGCTTTCTGCACGTTCACCAAAGTATTGTTGATGACGTCCAGAAGATCGTTGAATCTAATCAGCTCCTGACGAAGAACAGTGTTCATGCTGTTCATGTAAAGCACCGGGTACCTCGCAGCAACTCGCACAACGTCGAACGTCGGCCTCATTTTCGATAAAATGTCCTCGCACAAACTGAAAACCATCGCGTCGGTGTCTCGCTCGACTCCCACGCCGGTAATGTGCGGCTGTGTCAGTAAAGCTCCGTCGAGCAATTGCATCGATTCCTGATTGTCCTTCGTTATATCTGCGTTCTCGTGTAAACCGTAAACCTCAGGCTGCTGGTCAATTGGTAATCCTCGGATGTACTCGACGCACCCTTGATGATCGGTACCCGGAGGCATACGATACGTGCAACTTGGTGAAAAACAATACCTGTATGATTCACAAAATCGATCAGGTTCCATTATTGAGTTACATTCAATTATCTGACATGGCAGAATGAAAACTAACGTAATCGAATCATTCAGTCTGTTAACCCTTTGCACCCTGGAGGTGACTCTCACTCGCCACCGAATTTCATATAGTGAAACTATAAAATTTTATATATAACATTATACCTTGTGTAACTCATCAATTTGAAAATACTGAAATAAAATATCACCTTTATCTCATCCGAGACTATTAAAAACTTTCTAGTGAAAACTTCCCAGTGCGAAGGGTTAAACGGTACAGTTCCTTTAGGAATTTGTTCAATTAAAACAGGCGTTCTAACGACCAAAGTGCATCGCTGCATCTCACCCTGGCTCGCCGATAACTCGAGGGTTGTAAAACCCCTGAAGCAGAGAATTCAATAAACGCCTGTCCTTGTCATCCGTGACTCGCCCGCCGTAATTGCATTCGCCGGTCAGATAGAGAAGCGCATCGAACGGCACCGAGTCATAGTCATTCAAAAAGAGCTGCAAACAAAGCCATCGATTAATTAAAACCCGCGCCACTACTCCAACCGAAAATAAACGAAATCCTACTTGTAACTGTAAGATACTGATGCGTAGATCCGACTCGTTGAACTCGTAAGGGATGTTCCAGCCTAAAGGTCCGAAGTTGCGTCTCTCCTGAATGACGGCGTGGAAGAAGCACAAAGCGAACAGGAGACTCCTCCATTCGACGATGCGTTTGCAGCTGCTGTAAAATTTTGTGTCGGATATAGGATCGTTCAGGTAGCTTCTCAGCAAATTGTTCTTCAAGCCCTTCGGCGGCTCGTTGGTCATTTTCACGCCGTTCTGAAGAATAGAGATAGGGAAGTCCTTCGAGGGGTAGCTGGTCAGCCACAATCTGAACTTCTCGTTGGTGTTTTCCGGCGTGACGGTCTCGTCGCAGATTCTGTCCAGTTCCTTCATCCACGAGACAGCCAAATGGCAATTCTGTAGCACAACCCATTCCCCAGTCTTAATACCAGCGTTGATCATGTTGGCTGCTATGGGCCCTTGACCTTGGCCCAGGGATATGGTCATCAGGTTCTTCTTAGATATGCCATAATTTTCAGCGAACCTGATCAATCCAGCCATCGGATCTGACCCAGGCGACAGAATGAAGAGCAGAGGCGTGACGTTGCTGGAGTCATTGTAGGACGCTTGGAGGTCGAACGGTGGAGGCTCGACGAACGACTGGCCCATGTGTTCAACGATGAACATCCTCACAGCAGCCACTATCTTATCCGGCCTCAGACAGCTGAGTATCACCAGCTTCGCCAAGCTTTTGGTTACCCGCTGAAAAGGATGCGGGAAAGCGTTCTCCTGGGGATTGGACAGATCATAGTAGTCCTTCCACTGCGACGTGCTCCTTTGGAAAGATTCCTTCAGCCCCTCCAGGCTGCGCAGGCTTGTAGCTCTGACTACCTTGGACCAGGACCTCTCGGACAGCCACGTTGGGTCAGGATTGGGGAAGGGATTGTCCAAGGCTACGCCGCCTGTTAATAGAAACGTCCACAGATCCTCGTCCAGTTGCCCGCTGGCTCGCATCAGGCCCGCGCAGAGGACGAACGAGAATATCAGCTTGTCTTTCTCGAACAGAGACCTGCAGACGTTCCTGTAGATGCTCGCGGTGAAGTACTCATTCAGGCTGCCGATCCGGAGCTTCAAGTCCTTCGTCTGCTCGCTGTTGGCGATCGCCATCACGTACAGGTGAATGAACCAGGTCAGCGAGTACTGGTACATGGGGTCGATGTTCGTCAGCTCGGAGATGCAGAAGAAGAGGACGGAGCCGTGCTCCGAGACGGGCTTGTACCCGTTGCGAGCGCTGTCAATCTCCGACGCGGTCCTCGCAGCTATCTTCTGCTTCGCCTGGATGTCCTCGGACAGCACCTTCGACGAGGACAGTATCGTGATCGCGGTCTCGTCCTCCAGTATGTTGCCCTCCGACAGGGACAGCACCTCCAGGATCTTGTCCTCTATCTCCTCCAGGATCTTCCTGTTGCTCGCGCCCTCAACTATCAGCTGGTTCTTGCGCTCCTCGAGGACCGGCAGGTCCTTGGCGACGACGATGCCCAGCAGCTGGTCCTCCAGCCCCTGAGGAGTGATCATGAAGTTCAGCAAGGTCACCTTGACCACCACCTCCGGCAGGTAGTGCGGGTTCCTCAGGCACGTGGTCATGTAGAAACGGAAGTCGGGGTTATACTCGATCACATTCTCGCCGAACCTCATGTAGAGGACGCCGCGCTCTTTGTAGATGTTCTTCAGCAACACCGGTTCCAGTACGGCGTCTATCTCCTCCAGGACGTTCTCCAGTAGAACAGGCGTGCCGAGCTGTATGGAGGTCTCCACCGTTTTCACGTAATTCGGGTCGGAGAGCTTGATGACCAGCAGCTTGTTCTCCCTCTCCATGTTCTTCACCCACTTGTTCGCCTGGCTCTGCGGGTCGATCATCAGCGGCCAGCGGTCGGCGTTCTTCACGATTATACCGTTCTCCACGGAATAGTTGTCCGCGGGGAGGCCGAAGATCGTCCACGCCCTGATTTCCACTTGCCTGCCCAGAACGTCGGTCAAGCTGAACACCGCGCCGCAAGGGATGGGAGCGTCGAGACACGTCGAGTGCCATTCAGCAATCAGACTGGTTCTGTAGTCTACGGTGAAAGCGCCCAGATAAGCGATCATCCCGGAGCACAACAGGACGTCCCCGATGACGTTGCGGAGGCTCTGCCCTAACGCGATCGCCGTGTCGCTCCACCTGTCCTTCTCGCCGCTCAAGCCTCCCAGTAGCTTCTCAGCTCTGTCCAGCTTCTGCATGCAGAAGTTGATCTGGTCCTCCAGCTTCTTTTTCTCCCTCATGCACTCGGCGAACTCGTCGTTCAGGGCCTGCAGCTTCTGCGTGACCTCCTGCAGGAGCGCCCGTTTCGCGTTCAGAGCCTCCATTTGCGAGGCGAGCGCTGCCTCCGCTTCCGCGAGCATCTCCTGCTTCGGCTTCACCACCTTGATCACCCGGTCGTAGACCTCGATCGCTCGCACCCACTTGCAGAGGCCCTCGCAGGCGGTGGACACCTTCTTGATCGCTTCCGGCTGGAAGCTCCGGTCGTTGATGAACTTCTCGCGGATCTTCTTCATGTACGCCGCCGGTATGTTGTCCTTGTCGAAATTCTTCAAGCTCTCGAGGAACTTCATGTCGCCCAGCACTTTGATGGAGGCTGGCCAATAGTCCTCTGTCGTCTGACCGGTGGCCGGGTCCGTGAGCTTCTCGGGCTTCACGCCTTTCAGCACGCACACGGCTTCCATCACCAGCCGCACGCCTGCCGGCGGACTCTTCATGGACCGGACAATGGTAACGTCCGCCGGTTTCAGAGTGTCCAGCGCGGCCAGGGCGGCTTCCAGCGCCGGAGTGGCCTCCGCCAGGTCGCTCTCGCAGTCGTCCTTGATAGCCTGGGCAGCCGCGGCTGCCTCGTTCGCCAATGCCTCCTCGGCTGCCACCACTTCCTTCCTCGCCTCTATGTTGATGGTGTCCTGCTCTATCTTGATCATCAGCTTGTTGCTCAACTCGGACTGCGCCATTAACTTCGGCTGCAGCTCTTGCAGCTCCTCCTTCATCACCGCTATCTGCCCGGCTGCGAAGTCTAGCTTCTCCAGCCCGGTGACGTAACGGTTCTGCTGCAACACTATCTCTTGAATCTTCTGATTGTACAGCTTGCCCAGCAGCCCGATCAGCTGTAGGAAGCTGGTCGGTGTCGCGTAGTACCTCCTACCTTGCGTCCTAAAGTAGTCCTCGCTAGCCCGAACGATGCTCACGTGGAACCCCTTGGAGACGTGAACACACTTCTCCCGCTGGTCCTCGCCGATGTTCAAGTTCTGCAGGGACACCCGCGCCACCTTCTCCAGGGCGTCGTCTGGCCACGTCATGTACCAGTCGATGGTGCAACAGTTGATCAGGGACGGGAACATTCGCAGTCGGTTCCTGAAAGCGTTGCCGATCGGCGACATGGTCAGTATCAGGTGGAGATTCCTCGCTACCCTCTCCAGGAACGCGCTGTAAAGCGTCATCGGCGTCGTCTCGACCTTCTTGCCACCGTCGCGGGACAGGCCTGACATTTTCTCTAGAATCTCAGCCTTCTCCTCGGTGTTGTACAAATTGGGTATGTCCGCCGTGTTCAGGATCATGTTCAGATCCTCGACGAACGACTCCGTTTTGATCTGATGATCGCCGAAGAGGAAGCTGGTGGACTTCCCGTCGCAGCCCACGCGCAGCAGCAGGGTCTTCATGTCCTCCCGCCACTCGGTGAACCCGTACGCCCTGCTCATCTCCACTTGGTACATCGCGTACTCGCACATGCTGGTCGCCAGTTTCGCGCAGGAACTTCGGCCGGACCCACCGATGCCTACCAGAAGCGCGTGGCCGTTCTCCTGCACGAGTATCCGCGAGACGCGAGAAACGTGGTCCACAGCGTACCTGAACAGGACCAACGTCATCCGCGTCTTCGAGAGCATGTTGTACTCTGCCAAATAATAATCCATTTTACTCTGCAGGTCCTCCAGGTCGACCACCTCATCGTAGACTTTCGGATCGGCGTCGGGCTCTATGTAGTTGCCGAAGAGGAGGTCCTGCACGTGCGAACTCTCGACGTCCTTCTCGCCCTCCTTCAGGAACCTGGCGAGCACTTTCTCCAACGGTTGCCTGAGTTGGTCGTAACAGGTGTGCCGCACCATTCGCAGCAGGACTTCCTGATCGTTCTCGTCTATCAGTCTATCGTTGAACACCCTGTACACCTCGTGAATCCACAGCCTGATCAGTTTGTCCGGGTCCTGCATCCTGGAGGCTGGCACCAGAAGCACGCCCCTGATCACTCGACTGAAGTCGCGCAGATTGAACGTGTAGTGGCTCTTCGCCGGGGTCGGCAGGAAATTCCGAATAGCCGCGAAATAGATGCCCATCGTGGCGTTCACGATCATCTTCCCCAGCCTCGAAACGTCCGCGGGGAACCCCTTGGCGAAGTGGATCTCCAGGATCGTGGAGAAGATCCTCGACATGGTTGCCTCCTCGAACACGTCGATGCCGATCACCTGCATGTGTCGAGTCAACCTGGCCGTCACCTCATTCGAGCTCCCGCCGGGCGGCAGCATCGCAGCGATCAAGAACATGTCCACCAAGTACAGCGTCGTTGTGTCCTTCGCGTCGAACCAGTGCCCGTGATCTATCCACTGGCGGATCAGTTCGATCGGTGGCTGCGCACCGTACGTTTCCTTCTGCGGCACGCTCAAGTCGTCCACGAAAAGGATGCACTTCTTTCCCATTGGCGGACCGTACACACCCTTCCTCCTACGGTCCAGCTTGGACATCACCATCTCCTGAGTCTGAAGGGCAGTAGTGCAGGCGCTGAAGTTTATCACGTTCTCGAGATATTTGTCTCTGTTCAAGGACACCAGGTAATCTAAGGTGACCACGGATTTGCCAGTGCCGGTTGGGCCCACGAATAGGAGAGGTACCGATCTGTGCAGCAGGTTCGTTAGGAAGAAGTTCTGGATTACTACTTCGGACGTTGGCACTATTAGCTGATTGGACTTCGATTCCGGTAACAAAGACGCCTACAATGCGAATGTGAATAATTAATAGGCACAATTGATAGGTACACGTGAAGCTTCGAGTACCAGTAATGTTGCGTCCATCCAAGATATCCAGCAGCCATTGTTCCTCTTGTCGTATATCCAGTCATAGACGGTACCCTTATCAGGGAAGAGCTGTTGCTTCGACAATTTAAACGATTTCGGCCTGGGATGTTCTTCGTCGTTGCCGAGCAACAATCTTTTCAAAAACACGTCGAAGGACTTCCTGCTGTCGCTGGTCAACGTCGAGCACATCCCCCAGACCATGCTGAACAACAGTATGCATTGCAACCAAACAGTGCTAACTTGCGTTTCCTCGTTCAGCATGGCAGTGAAAAGCCTGGTAAAGGACTAAAACAAGCGTCAGAAACATTTCTACTTAACATTCTCATTCGCCGTTTGATTCGATACATAAAATTATAAACATTGAAATTCAATACACAATTTTGTATTAGGTATCGACACACGAATCTTAGAAATAAATTAGCTCCAACCCTTAACTTATATAACATTCTCCTTCGTGCTACTTGCTAACAGTATCATCGATATTCCAACGGAAAATAATAAACATTCCTAACAAAACATATCATCAAACGCAAAGGGTTAAAGCGTGCTCACCAAAAACACATGAAGCTCCGACACCTCTATGAACGTTTTACAATGGCGTCCTATAAAAGACAGGACCGGGTTTGTCAGCCAATCGACCAGTTCCACGACAAGCTCGAATTGTTCGAGGAGCAGCTTCTCTTTCAGATACTTCTTGTACGAGTCGAACAACGCGTTCCAGCCGAGCTGGGATGGTTCCATGTAGATCATGCCGCATCTGCTGACGGTGGCCGGGGATGCGTGCTCCAGGTCCGCAGGCTCGAACACCATGTTCATCTTGCTCGACATGGCGATGATCTCCCCGGACATCAGACAGAGCTTCTTATTGTCGTCCAGCACGGTGTTCATGCTCTCGATCCACACCGCGTCCACGGGGCCGTCGAACACGATCCACTTGCGGTCCACGGAGAAGGACTGCGCGAACTCTCTGAACATATTCGCCAGGACGCCGTCGCTCCATTCGTGGGACACCGGGTCGAAGCTGCCGTACAGTTGCTCCAGAGTGATGGCCTTCGGATTGATGATCCTGTAAACGGTCTGGTACTCCCTCATGGCGGCCCGCCTTTTACCGGACAGGTCGCCCAAAGCGTCCGCCAGGCACTGATAAGCCTTCGTCTTTCCACTGAGAGTTCTTCCGACGATCATCAGCCCGTGACGCACCAGCACCATCTCGTAGATCTGAACGATCTTCTCCATGTACCAAACCGTGGGCTGCAGATTGCGCTTCCGCAGCACGAGCCTCAGCAGATCGATCAGCTCGTCCCGGTCCGGCTGAGGCAGCTCGACGCTCGGGAACAGGTCGGTGTAGATGCCGTTGAATAGAGGGACGTCCTGAGCCAAGAACTTGGGAAGGTTCACGTCGACGATGGCTCGGAGCACCAGCATGGACTCGTTCTCCGTCGGGTACTTGAGCTTCAAGTTGCCAGCGGCGACCAGCACCGTCTTCACAGCACGCATCCCGTAGTCGTAGTGGTTCTGCGAGCTGAGCTGCTCGGAGCAGAGCTTGTAAGTGTGGACGATCTTCTCCGCCAGGTTCTTGGCGTCTATGAAGCCGAACGAGTACAGAGTGATCTCGCCTATCATCGCGTAGTCCGGCACCATCATGGCCACCGAGCGGAACAGGACCTTCAGGTTGTCGGGCAGCTCCTGGCGGCCAGCGTAGCCGGGGTTCATCGTGATTATGATGTAGCAGGTCGGGTTCAGCTTGAGCTCGGTGCCCTCGAACATAAAGCGTTCCATCTTCATGCTTATAGCCATCTGTATGGAGAGGATCTGCTGAGCGATCACAGAGAGGACCTCCAGCTCGATGCGGTTGAACTCGTCGAAGCAGGCCCAAGCGCCGGACTGAGCCAGGCCCTTGAAGAACTTGCCCATGGCTTTGTAGTCCAGGCCGTCCGAGCAGTTGAACACCACGCACTGCTTGGCCACAGCTTTCGCCAGGTCCTTGGCCGTCTCGGTCTTCCCGGTGCCGGCCGGTCCCTCCGGCGAGCCGCCGAAGTTCAGCTTCAACGCTCCCATCAAGGTTCTGTAGCATCTGTCGGTCAACGGCGTGATCACCAGCCGGGCTGTGTTCCCGAGGTACTCGAAGGCGTAGGCTACGCTGGTCGTGATCATGGAGACGGTGACGCTGTTGTCCAGCCAGTAGTACCTCAGCTGCGAGATCCAGTCGAAGTCCAACGCGTGGTCCACCCGCTTGTCGACGAGCAGCCTGACCACGTCCCGCGCATGCACGTCGATCACTATCAGAGCGTTCATCGTTATCCTGGCGCCGGTGTCCAGCTTGCCCCTGACCAACGCCACCGCGTCCTCTATCTGAGCGTTGCACTGCAGCAGATAGTCTGCGGTGGAGCGTGCTTCGAAGGACTCGCAGACCTCGCTGGTCCAGTGCACCTGACTGGCGCAGATGACGATCTGCCCGGGCCAGGAGAAGATCCACTCGTCCCTGGGCACGGTGAAGTACGCGATCACGCTCTCTTCGGCGATGTCGCGTAAGGACGCGACCATCAGCTTCTCCACCTGGCTCAGCCACTTCTCCACCATGCCCTTCGCGTCCGCCGGGTATATCTTCCCGCTGAGCGGCACGTACTCCTCTTGATCGGAGAGCATCCCGATGATCTCCTCCTCCTTGGTGAAGCGGAGCTTGCTGACGCCCTCGAAGCACTTCTTCAGGTGCGGCTGCACGCGCTGCGGGTCCTTCGTCTCGGACAGGATCTCCAACAGCTCGTCGTTGGACAGAAAGAAGAACCTCGGGAAGAACAGACGCTTCTTCTCCAGGTAGTCATTCAGGCCCTTCTGTATCTCGTCGAGCAGCGAGTTGCACAGCTTGAACTCGCCGAGCATCTTCGGCATGGCGGTCGCGTCCAGCACGCGCTTGTTGCTCGCCACGTAGCCCATGATGCCACGCCAGATTTTGTCCATGCGCCGGAAGTTCTTCGCCTCGGTGGGCATCTGGCGCATGATGTCCTCGCTGCTGAAGATCGGCTCGAGGTACATCCACGTCGCCTGGCACATCAGCCACTGGTCGATGATGTCCTGCATGAGCAGCAGCTTGTCCTCCCACTGCTGCATCTCCTGCTCGAAGGCCTTCACGAACGGCGAGCTCCGCATGGTCTGCGCCTTCAGGATGTGGTCGTCCAGCTGCACCTGGATGTCGTCCACAGCAGTCAGGATCTGCACGCCGGTCTCCCGGTACAGGGTTAAGTCGAACACGATGCTGCTCCACTCGTCCTTCATCTTCTGCAGATTCTGCTGCAGCCCGTGCTCCTTCACCGCCGCGGACGCTATCTCCTCCAGCTTGCCTATGTGCACCGGCAACCCGTACTCTATCATGTCGGACAGACAACTGGTGTCCGTGGGCGCTATTCGCGCGTTCACTATTTTACTGATCTGGTCCCAGTGGCGGTCCTGCAGTCCTGGGGTGCATATGATCTGCAGCACAGGGATCAGCTGCTTGAACTTCTCCACCTTGCTGCGCATCGTCTCCACGATCCGCCTCGCGCCAGGCACGTCGGTCAGGACGCGAGACAGCCTGTACAACGTTCGCCACGTGGTCTCCGTCGTCTCGTTGATCTCTTCGGCGTCGAGCCCGGCGAAAGGACCGTAGTACCACTTGTCGTAATTGACGTGGAAACTCAGGGCCGTGTGCCAGACCGTGTCCAACGTGTTCACGATGCTGGACATCGCTGGCAACGCTAGGTACGGGCTCAGCTCCATGTCCAGCAGCGACTCCTCCTCGTTGATCTTCTCGGCTTCTTGCCTGATCGCCGCCATACCTGCGGAGAGCTGTTCCGCTTCCCTCGCAGCTTCCTCCATCTCGGTGATCGTCAGTATCGGAGGATCCTTCCTTTTGAACTGGTCGATGCCCAGCTCCATATTCTTGATCGTGTGCTCGAAGGTCTCCTTCCTTATGCGCAGCACCTCCTCGAGGAATTCTTTCCTCATGTTCAGCCTGGTGTTCGCCAATTCCATCACCGTGTCCATTTCCTTCGGCCACGTGATGGCTCGCGAATTCAACTGGATGTCGTCGGTCGTCGGCGCTTGGTAATCGAACAGGAATAATATTAACTCGACGGAACGAGCCAGTTGCCTCTTCATGTTGAACATCGTCGAGTCGCGACTCTCGCACAGATAATTGTACAGGTCGACCACCTCCTGCGTTTTCTCCGGCATCTTCGAGATGTTCTCCGCTATCGTGTCGAAGCTCGAGCACAGCTCACGGTTGTTTGTCCGTAATTCCTCGGCGAAGTGCTCGCAGATTTCACTGCGGAGGTCGTAGAGGATCCGCCTTATAGTGTCGTTCACCAGAGAGCAATCGATCTCGATCATGTTGAGGGGAACCTGGAAAATTAAACTGTCGGTGAATGCTCTAAAAGAATTCCAGATATAGGACGAGGGAAACTTACTTTATTACGAAATACGATGATCTCTTTGCGGAGGCTGTCATAGTCTCGTATTCTGTTCTCAAATTCACGCAGAAATGGAACTGGCTCGATTTTGAAAAAGTTCTCCAGATTCCTCTTGGCTTGTCCGTCCAAGATGTACAACAGATCTTCGTAGCACTGTAAATAGATTCCTGGCCCTGCTGTGTGTACGCTGACAATGTCTAATATGTCACTGATTATTTTTGATACCTGCAGTGTTTAAGATTAAGTAACTTTCAATAGAAATTTTCAATAGAAATGTTAACGTTCATGATGGTCCATTCACCTTTTCTTCGTATCTTGACACAGAAGACAAGTAGTCGTGACATTTTAATTCAGGAAATAAAATGGTTTCGATACTTGGAATAAATGTTGCCACTGTAAGGATATTGTTGATACATCTTGATATAATTTCTCGCACCTCTGGAATACTCGGTTTACAATGTAAACGTGGAGTACCGAGTTCTGGTTCGATTACTATTGTTAGAAAAGTTGGCCTGAAACGCGCCCGTGGTGAATATTCTTTATAGAATGTACGAAGACGATTTACAGATGTCTCTTACTTGTAGAACATCAGGTCTTCGTAATTACCATCAAAATAATTTCCATTCCTGTAGTCTATAAAAAATTTTTTGATATGTTCCAACGTTTTCATGACCATCGTTCGTAGCTGTTTAGACATCAGTGTATTCACGCTTGAAAAATATTTTTTTATCAACGTCGTGGAGGCATTGTGATGCTCCTCAACCAGACAAGACCAAGTATCCTTTTTCTCCAGGAAAATGTCGGCGATATTAGCCAACCATTCTTTTTTCAGTTTATTTATTGCCTCGTCGCATAATGAATTCACCCTGAACTCTATCTCAAAAGCTGAGATCGGGAGTTCTCCTAAATCTTGAATTCTCAGTATCATCGTATCTTGATACCTAAAAAATTCATTGTGTTCTCTGTTTTCTCCATTTTGTGTTCTCAATATGATAATCTAAATTAAAAGGAATATATATTGTAAATAAAATATCTTAATATATTAGTAATAAGATATCTGCCTTACTTGGAAAAGTAGAGATCTTGAATATCTCTGAGTATCTCATTTCCGATGAACAAATTATACTGCACATAATGTTCTGCCATTAATTTAGACTGATGCCAGGGAACAGGTGCTCGTACAGTTAGAAGTTGATAATTTACCAGTGATGTTTCTATACGTAATCTTTTCCTTTTGTCATCGTCCAAAAGGATGCAATCGAGAATAATGTACCGAAGACTTTGCTTGTAGCTTTCAATGATTTCTAGCTTCAGTTCTTCTAGTAATTCATTGAAACTAAGCAAAGACGATTAATGAAAAGATTTAGACGCACTAATATTAATACCGATACTAATACTAAATAGGAAATTAAAATGCAAGGCCTAATGAACTTACTCTTCTCGTTTCAGCAATTTACTGGTAATATATTTCTTCGCTCTTTCAAAGTTATTGTAATCATATGTGCTTAATTCGTTATTTATACATTCGCGATTACTTAAGCAAATTATTTCATTGTCTTCTATTTCAGCATATCTTATCTGCTTCTCATTAATTTCTTTTAATAAATTATTCCTTTGATCCTCTATTGACTTTGGCATTTCAGCCTCATATTGTTGAAGATTCTGTAACTTATGTGTAACCTATTTTAAGAGAGATGAAACTTGTATCTTATACATCTAGACTAGAGATACACTCAAATTTAATGTACTGAACAATGTTAAATGCAAAAGTTATAATAAAAATTAATGATTCTTGAAATAAGCATATGGAAAAATATCTAGAAATTCCTCCTCGATAGTATAGTGGTTAGTATCCCCGCCTGTCACGCGGGAGACCGGGGTTCGATTCCCCGT